CATCGTTAAAATCCAATGGGTGTAAAAAAAAGGTCAGTTCCGAGAAACGGCAACTTGTCAAAGAACTACATGCTCCAGCAAGAAAAAATTTCCCTCGAAGACACGTTACAGTTCGAGGTTACGACGACCTGTGGCAAGCTGACATCGTCGATATGCGTGCATACTCACGTTTCAACAGAGGCTACCACTACATACTCACCGTCATCGATGTGTTGAGCAAGCATGCGTGGGCCATACCGCTCAAAACTAAGGGTGGGAGCGAGACGGCTGAAGCTATCGCTAAGATAATTCGAGAGAGTAGGAGATGTCCGAGAAACTTGCAAACCGATATGGGGAAGGAATTTTACAATGCTGACGTGCAAGGACTTGTGAAAAAACATAACATCAATCTCTATTCCACTTATTCCGTAATGAAAGCGTCGGTGGTCGAGCGATTTAATCGCACGTTAAAGAATGATATGTGGAAGATGTTCACGTTCAACGGAAGTTACATGTGGATGGATTTATTACCGCGACTCGTCACAGAGTACAACGCGCGCAAGCACCATCGGCATGCGGCCTGTCGAAGTTACCCCCGCGATCGCCGACAGGCTCTTAAAAACAGTGTACAGCCACGTAAAAATTGCAGGTCCTGCAAAGTTCAAGATAGGTGATCAGGTGCGCGTCAGAAAGTACAAAACGATTTTCGAGAAGGGTTATACACCAAATTGGACCACCGAGGTATTTAAGATTGTTAAAGTACAACGCACCAATCCTGTAACCTATCTACTTGAGGATTATCGTGAAGAACCCATCGCTGGAGCGTTCTACGAGTACGAACTGCATCGTGCAACTTATCCCGACGTGTATCTCGTCGAAAAGATATTGCGTAGGAGGGGTGACAAGGTTTATGTGAAATGGCTAGGATTCGATGAGTCGCACAATTCTTGGATACACAAGGACAATGTGGTTTAATCATATAGTCTTTTTAAGAAAACAATTTTTTAATTCAAAATATATATAAATGTGTGTAACAAACAGCTGTACAAAATACAAGTATGAATATATACAAGAACTTTTTATGTTAAATTTTAGTTTTATGATTCCCATTAAAGATGCAACGTTCGAGACATTTGTCAAATATTTTTTCTTCTAGACCCAACAATGCTTGGACATTTTATGAACGGTAACTGCATCGTACACTGAAAAAAATTTCTGGTTGAATATGGACGAATCAGATAATTCCTTTAGAATTTACCAGAATTCCTTTAGGATTTACCAGAATTTCTGTAGGATTACAGGAATTCTGGTAAATCCTAAAGGAATTCTGGTAAATCCTAAAGGAATTATCTGATTCGTCCATATTCAACCAGAAATTTTTTTCAGTGTACCATTTTTTTTCTTCTAGACCCAACAATGCTTGGGCATTTTACGAACGGTAACTGCATCGTACCATTTTTTCTTCTAGACCCAACAATGTTTGGGCATTTTACTAACTGTAGCCGCATCGTACCATTTTTTTTCTTCTAGACCCAACAATGCTTGGGCATTTTACTAACTGTAGCCGCATCGTACCACTTAACCGGATGTGTATGTCATAGAAAAAGTATTGCGTAAAGGAGGGGGTTACAAGGTTTATGTGAAATAGCTAGGATAATATAGACTATTAAAAAAATG